GATGCTGCTTGGCCTGCTGTGTTCATCCAGCTCTACACCTTGTTATCACTGCGTTTGAGTTATGATCATTTACAGCTGTTTGAACCCTGATGGGAGCTCACTTGTGCATCTACCAGTTATTTATCAGCTCCTGCTTTTTAATGCACCTCGTAAAATGATAGTCCTGATGGAAAAGACTGAAGTACTAACAATTAGGGAAAACATACATAAGCTAACCATTCACATTTTCCACACAGAAGTCATCATATAATGAAAGCCATTATAAATAAATGTAATGATTTCACCACGATGCAGCATGTTCAGAATGCCTAAAAGATTATATGCTGAAAGTTGCCCAATTGCTAACATAATTCATTCCCAATAATATTCACTGGATGTTGCACCAGAAGTGGCGTATTCAGATTATAATTAAAAGTGTAATGAGTAACTTAATACTTGGTAGGCTGCTTCTGTTCCTATTGAAAATTGACCTGTTAGCTTAGGAGTAGTAATCACATTTACTTCTGAAATAAATGCCTTAGTTTCTATGAGGCCATCAATAAAATGTTGACTGTCAATGCAATAGTATTCTTCATTTGCACCTTTGCAACAAGTAGCCTGTGTAAATACCATCACCTGAGCAGAAGCAGTGGTGCTGTCCATCATGTGACACAATGTCCTGCAAGAATTTCTACTATGAAACTGGTCAGTTTTGTTACAAAAGCAAAACATAATAGCATTGCTAATGCTTGTATGACTTATCAAAATTCATCAATGTTTCAAGTGTAACTACAGGTTATAATCAATTTGTGATTAGTTAGCTTAAACGTGATCAGGAACAATTTCAACAAAATTGAGCTTCATGGCAATACTAAACATTCTTATTAAACTCTGACTGATGTGACTTCTTCATTGACCCTCAGTCCCCTGGCTCAGACTGATGGTGTGGAGGTGTTGCCCAGGCCCAGCTTCTGTCTATCTGGGGAAAACAACAAGCATAGCAGAGAAATTATTGAATTAAGTCAAGTTTTGTACCTTCTGAGAAAGGGAAACTTTCCTTTGTGAAATTTTGTGTTGTCACAATGCTGTGGTAAAGGAAATGATTACCATTACAGTACTAGGCAAATATAGATAGTTTTCTGTTATAATACAAATAAGAACTAATTGAACAGAGTATTGCAAACAATTGTAAATTTGTCTGAGTATGCAACTACTACATGGTTTAATGCCTCAAACTGACTAATCATTGGAGAAGCTGGGAAAAATGGCTCACTGCATGCTTGCCACAAAATGTTTGTTTTTAATTTACAATCAAAAGGAAGTAAAACGCACTTGTGTGAAATTCTACAAAGAGTTAACACAATTTTACTTTGGTTCCTTTGTGGGTCATGGATGGTTTATACCAGCTGCGAGATTGAGCCAGTGAAGTTTTAGTTGCACTAACCACTATTTCATAAATCTTGCATAAATGAAATGAAGTTGAGCTCAATTCGTGCAAAAGGTGGTTTAGTACCTCTGGGTTCTGCAATCAGAAAATAATATGGGGGCCAACTAATTTAAGGCTGTTTTTACCTTTAGGTCTAACAGTAAAAATGGTTTTAAAAGAAATCCCAACAGAATCTTTGACTCGCCCTCTGTCACGCAATGAAATAGTTGGTTTAATTTTTCGACTGACAATATTTGGTGCAGTAACCTATTACACTATCAAATGGATGGTAGATGCCATTGATCCAACAAGAAAACAAAAACTGGAAGCACAGAAGCAGGTTGGTTCCTTGTTTTATAATTTATTACATGCACTAATGATATTTTGAAATGTTTTAGCCTTTCCTCTTTTCATACTTTATTCTGAGAGACAGGAGCATGTGCCATCATGGTCAGCTGAGAGAGATATTTAGTATTTTCTAATAAGATTAACTGGATATTAATCCATTTAGAATCCTTGCATCAGTGGTAAATGATTATGTTTTTACATTAAAAATAGCAGCATAGTTGTGTGACCTAATGCCTAGAAACATACAGCAAATTCAACAAGATATATTTAATTTAAAATGGGTAATCTCAACAAAGTCTAGCCAAAAGGATAGTGACAGAAAGGATATGCTCACTCCATGATATTTAATCATATGGTTTATAGTTTCTATGGGGCCCGATTTATGGTATTTTATTTATTGTACATTGTATTGATTGTATTGTTGCATTTTAAATATTTTGGTAGGTAGTATCAGGTGTTGATTTGCTATAAATATCTTTTTTCTATTAATCTGTGGCATGTGAGCATTGCTGGCTTGGCCCAAATTTGTTGCCCTTGAGAAGATGGTGGTGAGCTGCTGCCTTGAACCGCCACTGCCCATCTACTGTAGATAGACTCCCAATGCTTTAGGGAGGGAGTTCCACGATTTTGACCCAGTAACACTGAAGGAATGGCAATATATTTCCAAGTCATGATGGTGACTGGCTTTTTTTTTCATTCATGTGTTGAGGACATCACTGGCTAGGCTAGCATTATTGTCCATCCCTAATTGCTCTGAGGAGTCAAATGTAGGACAGACCAGATAAGGATGGCAATTTCCTTTCCTAAAGGACATTAGTGAACCAGATGGGTTCTTTCAACAATCAAGAACGATTCATGGTCATCATTAGACTCTTAATTCCAGACTTTCACTGAATTCGAATTCCACCATATACTGTGGTGGGATTCAGACCCGAGTCCCGAGAACATTACCTCGGTCTTTGTATTAATAGTTCAATAATAATAATACCACTAGGCCATCGCCTCCCCAATGGCTTGGAGGGGAACCTGCTGGTAAAGGTATTTCAGTGTATCTGCTGCCTGTCCTTCTAGGTGGAACTGCTCTTGGGATGGAAGATGCTGCCTAAAAGAGCCTTTGTGAATTTCTGCAGTGCATCTTGTAGATAGTGGCAGTGTGTACTACTGAGTGTTAATGGTAGAGGGAGTGGATGTGGTGCCAATCAAGTGGGTTGCTTTGTCCTGGATTGTATCAAGTTTCTTGAACGTTATGGGAGTTGCACTGATCCAGGCAAGTGGAGATTATTCTTTCACACATCTGACTTGTGCCTTATAGATGGTGGACAGTCTTTGGAAAGTCAGGAGGTGAGTTACTCTTTTATTAGCGTTACTAGCCTCTGACCTACTCTTGTAGGCACTGTATTTATGTGGCTAGTCCAATTCAGTGTAACCCCCAGGATATTGACATTGGGGGATTCAGTGACAGTGATGCCAAAGCCATTGAATGCCAAGTGATGGAGGTTAGATTGTCTTTTATTGGAGATGATCATTGCCTGGTGTTTGTGTGGTACAAATGTTACTTACTACTTTTCATCCTGAGCCTGGACGTTGTCCAGGACATGTTGCATTTGGACCTGGACTGTTTCAATGTCTCAGGAGTCACAAATGTTACTAAACATTGTGCACTCATTGGTAAACGTTGAAGGGAAGGCCATTGATGGAGCAGCCGAAGATGTTTGGGCCTAGGACACTACCCTAAGGAACTCCTCCACTTACTTAAGGTGATTAATAGCCATATTGGACTTTTTCCATGTGGAGATCTATTATCAATTTAAATTGACCAGCAACAGTCAAATTTTATAAGCTAATTAGTTCGTGGTTTTGTGGAAATTGTTGATGGTCGCTCCCCATTCATGATATTCTTCATCTTGGATGCAAGTTTGATTAATGAGAATATTGCCACGTAAGGTTTTATTGATTCATTTGAGTAGTTAGGCAACTAGTTGACTTCACTGAATGGAACTCTGGCAAATAAGAACAACAATACTCTTAACTGAAAGTAAAACTAATTCCTCGTCATTGATTCACCAAGAGTACAAATGAGGCAATGCTTTATGTGCACATTTGTGTACATTGTGGACATTGCTGGAAATGACAGCATTTATTGCTGTCATCCCTCATTGCTTTTCAAGAGGTATTGGTGAGCTGTTACATTGAACTGCTGCAGTCCATTGGACAATTGCTGTTAATGGGAGAGTTCCAGGATCTTAATCTATAACAATGAAGGAATGGTGGTTTTGGTGCCCGTCTTCTTGAAAGTTGTATTCATTTATTGGGTGTCATATTTTTTGTATCCATATTGTACCTGTATATTAGCGTCAATCAGATATAGCTAATAATGGAGTGCTCCTCTGTCACAGGGATCTTTTGAGACATTAAGCATCTGCTCAGATGGATGCCAACAATACCTGACATTATTTCAAAAAAAGCAGGAGAGGTATTCTGGTGTCCTGCCAGCTTTTATCTGTTGGCCAACATCCAAGGCAATTTAAAATGGTCCTTTGTCTCATTCTTGTGCAGTCTTGCTGTGTGCATGTTTGTGTAAATTTCCAAGGTGAATCAACTTCAAAAAGTCCTCCATTGTTGAGAAATTGCTCTGGTATATCAAATAATATAGAGAGCTCTATGTAAGTGCAAATTCTATCTGTTGTCTTTGCTGTGATCACAAATGCAAAGCTTTTTAATTTTCAGTTTGCTCTTGACTCTTAGAAGAATTGGCCTAAAAGAAAGATCAATTCATGGAGTTTCAAGTCCTGCAATCTCCATGAAGTGTCAAGTACTAGTAAATTACTTTAAAATGTAGTACCTAAGATGTTGGCAAAATTTTGCCAGGCACGTAATTCCAAAAGCAGCAAAGAAATAAATGACAGTAACTTACTTCTTTCGTGGTGTTGATTGGGTCATATATGTTAGGCAAGAAATTGGGAGAATTCTCTGCTGCCATGTTATTTTTCATAAACATATGTGCTGGAACAGTCAGCATATTGATCTAACATCTTATACATGGAATGGGTTGAATAACAATCTTCAATCTTGCTTTGGAGTGTTGAAGAAATAATTTTACGTACTTGCTCTGGTCGTGAAAAGATGATAACAGTGCTTTCTAACAAATCAAGTCCTTTCAAGTATAGTCACTTCTATAAAATGGCAATCAATTGGTGCAGAGTAAGCTCCCATAAGGTAAATGATCAGGAAATCTGGACTTGTGATGTTTGTCAAAGGTTAAATATTGACTAGGACACTGAAATGTACTACCAATTCTTTAGATAAGCTAGAGAGTGTTTAATACCAACCTGAGAGGACAGACAAGGTCTTGATTCCCTGTCTCATCCATTGAGTATTCTGTCAAAGAATGCAGCAGCAGCAGCACCACCCCCACCCCATCATATCATACCATACCATAACATACTAGACTAAAAGGTCAGCCTTGGTTTGAGCCCAAATGTCTAGACTGGAACTTGAAATCACAATGTTGCACAGAACCTGGAGTTCTACCAACTTAAGTAAGCAAAAGTACAACTGACCAGTTCGACATTACTTATTAGCACATGGTTAGTTTGCACACTGACTCAGACTTACTTAGAATAGGTTGACTGTCTGAGAGATTTACGGAACTGTTTTGTTCTCTGTTGTCTTACCCAGACGTCTTATTAATATTTTACAGTTAGTTCAGATTTGTAAGGTCAGAAATCACATGACACCAGGTTCAGCCCAACAGGTTTATTTGAAAACACAAGCTTTCGAAGCCTTGCTCCTTCTTCAGGTGTGGGTGGGAGAGGTAGTAACAGACACAGAATTTGTAAGTAAAAGATCAAAGGGTTACACCACTGATGAGGATATACTAAGCAAACCTAAGATGCTGTTAAATCTTTAATCAGTTAGAAGGTTTTAATTGAATAATATGTATATGTAAATCCCTGCATTCCTTTCAAGTCACCGCCCTGAGAGAAATAAAGGTTTTATTAGTGTAAAGAAGAGGTGACATTTTAGTTTAGACAATGCATGTTAGGTAAAACCTTTAATTCTCTCAGGACGGTGACTTGAAAGGAATTTGGGGATTTACACATGGATATTTAGTCAATTAAAACCTTCTAACGGATTAAAGATTTAATAGCATCTTAGGTTTGTTTAATACATCCTCATCAGTGGTGTGATCCTTTGATCTTTTACTTATAAATTCTGTGTCTGATACTACCTCTCTCACTAACACCAGAAGGAGCGAGGCTCCAAAAGCTTGTGTTTTCAAATAAACCTGTTGGGCTATAACCTGGTGTCGTGTGATTTCTGATCTTGTCCACCCCAGTCCAACACCGGCACCTCCTCATTCAGATTTGTAGTTTTGTTAGTTCTTTGAATCCCATGGAATTCTTACTGTTTAAAAATGCAGGATTGTGCTTTTAATGATGTGGTGACTTTTGCGGTATTTCCATATTAGAATGTTGTATTTCGTACTTTTATTCCTTCTCCAGTTAGATTTTAGTGAAATCATGTGAGCACTGCTCTTTATAGTTAAGCATTTCTAATGAATCGTTTTATCCTTTTTATTACTTGGGGCTCCATGCTCTATAAACCACATTCTGCCCACAATTTAAGGGACCCATCACTGAGACTTGGCTTTTCAATGTTGATGGGTCTGCTGTATCAAATCACTTCTCCTCAAAGCTTCCATTTAATGTTGTCCAGGAGCTGGTTACTAGAAGTTGGTTAATGCGTTGAATACCTTGGAATATTGATTTTTGTTTGTAATCTGAAGGAGTGGGAGATTCAAAGATAGAAATTTAAATTAGTTCTGGGTTCTAAATTGTGGAGAAAAAGCTTAAAGAACAGAAATATTGGACAAACCGTTGGCTGGAAACATGGTCTCAGATTTTAAAAAAAATGAATAAATCTTGCTGCAGTCAGATAATCCTGATTATGAGCATAAATTGGAGGACATGAATGCTAATTTTCACTTGAGACTTCAGAGCAGGTGACATTTCTCTTGGATTGTGACCATTTCAAATAGATATCCCAGCTTAATTAATGTTTTCCCAGAAGGTTTGCAGAATATGTTCAGAAGAAAATCCTTGTCTCACCTGGTCGTACTCTTCCAGAATATAGTGCCTGCTATCTTCTCATTCAAATATTCCTGGACTGCTGATTCTGGCAATCCTCCTGAGCAAATTGTTCTATATGTTGACTTTTTTTCAAATTACTAACTTACTTCACAGGCTTGTTCTTCACAATCTTGAGCTTTCTTATCTCGCTAAGCGTGCCTGGCAACATCTGTGCAGAGAGAAACAGCATTAATGTTTCAAGTCCATGTGGACTGCAGCGGTACAAGAGGGCAGCTCAGTGCCAACTTCAAGGGGAATCAGGGATAGGCAATAAATGCTGGCCAACCAGCGACGCCCACGGCCTACAAGTGAATAAAAAATGTCTAATATGACTCTTCTTCAGAGCTATTCAGAACCATTATGAAGAAGAATCTTACTGGACTCGATGATTAACTTTCTTTCTCCACAGATGCTCCCGGACCTCCGGAGTTTCTTCAACGTTTTCTAGTTTGTTTCTGATTTCCAGCATCCACAGTATTTTACCTTTTATATTTTATTCCGCTCATTGGTATATCTGAAGGTATATTATTTTCTGTGTCTAGTGATACTTGTTTAAGGTTTACCCTAAGGTATTTTTTCAAGTTTCTCTTAGGTTCACACCTCCAATACTGGCAAGCAGTCTTAACCCTCTCCTTTGCGTTACCATGAGGCTTAGCTTCATATCTGTACAGATAGAAATGTGTGCAGTCTACAGCTGAGGATTGTCAATGTGATTGGTCGAAATTTTGAATTCAATTTATTGTAGGTGTAACATGATATTGTTTTCTTTGGTAATTTCTAATGTGACAGATCAGAGATGTTCTGTGGTATAGATTCAGTGTTGTAATTCTCTAAGACATTTTGACCTTACCTGTATTGTGGGGTATTAAGATTTGCTAGCTCCAGTGCTGAATGACAAATTCGAATGCATGATTTAATTGAAATTTAGAAATTTAATTGTGATTAAAGCTCTGTACTACCTGATCTGAGAAGCTGAGCATCCTTTCCCTAACTCACTTGTTATTCTATCCTGTTCTGGTAGGTAGTTTTGTTAAGTACAGTGGCAAACTGAAAATTCAGATTGTCTTTCTCATTCAAGTGAGAATAGTTTGATTGTTTCAGAAAAATAACTTAAGATTACATGAAATGTTATATAGTGCAATTTATTTTGTTATTGCTTGATTTAATATTAATGAAGGAGATATACCCTCCTACTTCTCTTGTTGTCTTTGCCCTCCCCAGCCTCATACTTTCTTCTTCATAGAATCATAGAATCCCTACAGTGTGCAAACAGGCCCTTCGGCCCAACAAGTCCACACTGACCCTCAGAGCATCCCACCCAGACCCATTCCCCTATAACCTACCTAATCTACACATCCCTGAATACTATGGGCAATTTAGCATGTCCAATCCACCTAGCCTGAACATCTTTGGACTGTGGGAAGAAGCCGGAGCACCCGGAGGAAACCCACGCAAACACGGGGAGAATGTGCAAAATCTACACAGATAGTCGCCCGAAGGTGGAATTGAACCTGGGTTCCTGGCGTTGTGAGGCAGCAGTGCTAACCACTGAGCCACTATGCTGCCCCATTTGTTCATGAGATGCATGTTTTCTATATTCCCCTCTGTACTCAATCCACATTTAGTTTCAAATTGAGAATATCAATTTCTGTGCTGTTATGCTAAATCTGTTCTCTGGGTTATTGTGTTTACTGTGTAAGAAGGAGAATGTGAATATTTAGAAAAACATTAAATCCTAATATGTCCTTTTCTTTGAAAAAGATAACATTGTTAACAGGTTTGTGTTTTCTAGAGCATATTTAGAGTTTTTACAGCTATGTGATGTTGTAGAAGTTGTTACTTTATACTTTGTGTTTTAAGTGGCTTGGGACTGCTTAAATAAAATATAGTTTAAAATTTAAAAATGTATTTGAAGTAGTAAATTATGTATATAATCCATGAGACATCTTTCAGGTAAGATTTGCTGTGCAGTTATTTCCTTTGACATTATTTTTTATTAAATTTATTTGTTATAATTTGATAACTTAAACTTAATGAAAAGTAAGCTTTATTATCTGGCACACTCAAGCAGAATTCTCTAGTTACTGGAAATTCTGACAGCTGGATTTTTCTTTTTAAAAGCCTGGTTATTTTTGCTGTTCAGATAATGCATTCTTTCAAAAAAGAACTAATAATGATGGCAGGTTGTAAATCTGCAGAAGTTGTTTTTGGATTTACATTGAAATTATTAAGTTTTTAGTTATCTTACCTGAACAAATATATCACTCTAAGTAACTGCGAATGAAATTGACAGCTTGATTTCTTTTTTAAAAAAAAGTCTGTGTTGAAGGTTGTGCTGTCAGCTTGTCTTCAGTTGTGCAGATTTCATTGCAATGCCATGCTGTACTGGGGCCCTTGATTGCCCAGCTGTTTCCCCTAGCCCTTCAAACTCTCAAAAATAAAATGGCACCTTGTCTTGTGTATGGAGTTATGAAACTTCACATTAACAGACATTTTTATTTAACTGTCTCCACTCATTTCCCTAATTTGTTGGATAACAAAAATTTTACTGTGATATACGTGTGGAAGTAAATGTAATAATAGATATTTCTGTTGAAATTAATATTAAAATAACAGTTCGTGATATTGAATGCAATTGGAATGCAAGAGAGTAAATTAGGATCAAAGTGAAGCTGTGGGATTGTCCTTATGTCCTGTTTATATTTTAGATTAATTATTAATTTACTTGCAGGCAGAAAGACTAATGAAACAGATTGGCGTAAAAAATGTCAAGCTTTCTGAATACGAGATGAACATTGCAGCCCATCTAGTGGACCCCCTGAGCATGCAAGTAAGACATGTTTTAATTGTATTTGGTGTTCTTGCTGCCTTGCAAAGTGAAATGTGGATAGGGTAGAATTACTAATCCATATATTAGCTATGCACTGTTGCATCTGGCATGTTGTGCAAATCTCATTAGGGGCAGCTTGCCTAATATAAAATTCCACTTTCCTTTTAGATGCCAATTTAAATTTACTTATCCTTACTGTCAAAGGGTGACTTGATTCATGTCTTACTACACCTAATATGAGTTGACTAGCTTTGGAAGGCTGCTGTTATGGGTGTTGTGGACCTCACTTCTGTCCTCGGTTCAGTAGAGTGTAACTGAGCTCTTTCCCTGAATTTTAGGAACAATGTCATTTGTTTCCAAATTTGAATTTTTCACTAATATCTCTTGCGCCCTTCTAAATTGTACATTGTATTTTGTTCAACCAGGTGGTAACCTGACCACTGTTAGTAGTACTGTGGAGCTGACCATTAGAAGTTGCAGAAAAGAAGCCTTAGGCAACCAATACATTTTTAAATTTCCTCTCTCCATATGGAAAGAGTAGTTTTCACCTCTTAATAGCATTGCTAGGATTAGGAGCTTTCTCTTTAAAGAGTTATCTTAGGTGAATGAGTTAGAACGTTAAGTTTTCATGCCTACGTTTGTAACAAAACATGTCATGTTGCTTCAGCAGCTTAGCTTTAAGTGTGTCTTATGTAACAATTTGGACTTAACTGGAGTATTGTGTCGAATGAACACCACATCGAAACGTAAAGGCTTTTAAAAAAGGTGCCGAAAAGATTCAGGAGAATGGTTCCGGGGTGAGAGACGTTAGTGGGCAGTATAGAAATCTCTCCTTGGAGAAAGGGTTGAGAGGAGATTTGAGAGAGGTTCTCAATGTGATGATGGATTTAAACAGAGAGTAGCTGTTCCCATTGGCAGAAGAGTTGAGAACCAGAATCTACAAATCTGATGTGATTAGCCGAGGAGCCAAAGGTGACATGATGGAGCTTTTAGTGTAGTGAGTAATTAAGATCTAGAATGTGCTGTTTCAGAGTGTGGTGAAGGCAGTTTCAATCATGGATGTGAAGGAGAATTGCATGAGAACCTGAAGGGAAATATGTAGGGCAGTGGGGAGCTTTATAAGTTGCCATATCAGATTCTCTCTCTAACCATGGCTAACAAAGGCCACCACTTTTAATTTCACACCAACTCCAATTAAAAGTAGGGTAATTAATCCTACTGTAAGCAATCACCTCATGCATTTTAATACATTCTCCTTTTTTTGAAGCAAATAGTGATCATAAGCAAAGTATATATGTATTAAACTTTATGCCACCTGAACAGTTTTTAAAAAAAAAACTCATTGCAATGTGTGTCTCAAACTGGTGTCTTATTTTTCAAAATATAAAACCAGAGTTTGGAAATATGTTTTTAAAAATGTAGATAACTTCTGAGTGCAAGTGTCAAATGTGTTATTGGGTAGAAAAGTCTGTTACTTTTAATTTGACAAAATTTTGAACCAAGACTTGATCAAATCGTAATTGGGAGAAAGGTCACAAAGTCAAATTAAAAAGTATTTGCTTAAAAATGTTCGATGTAATCTACCTGCTTTAATTTCTAACTTAAAAAGCAGAAAATACAAAAACAAATGGAAGGATAAACTGGAAAACAAAATTTGTGGCTTAAACAATGTTGTTTCAAAGTTTACAATATGTGCACATGGCTTTGAAATGAAAAGTTAGAAAAATAACTAAATTATTTTCATTTTTCAAAAGCATAAAATTAATTCTCGTTGGTACATGGCCTTTAAAACTAATGTCCTGAAGAAAAGTGTTAGTTGTTTATCCCTCCTGACTGTCAGATTATTTCCTGTAATTTATATTTTAAGTTTAGATTTCCAGCACCTGTATCTTGCTTTTCAATTTCTTCTTTAAAACTGCATTCTTGTTTATATACAGAAGTAAAAATTGATTTCAGTACTAAATTTGAGTACTTGGTCTCATCTCAGTTCCTGCTTGTAAATATCTAGCAAAGAACCCTGGGAATCAAATTTGGCTATCATTAAATAAATTTTGAAATCAAAATCTGAGACATACTTTTAATCATTCATCCAGCAGTTAACAGAGATTTTACTTATCATCTATTAGACACCCTAGATTGGCACAAGGTACCATAAACCATAACTTATGTTGAATTTAGTGTGGAGGTCAGCTTGCAAATTTAACCAATTTGTTGGCGTTCTATGAAGGAGTAACATGCTGTGGATCAAGGGCACCTTGAAGGTGTACAGTATTTGGATTTCCAGAAGCCATTTGACAAAGTGCCATAAAATTTAGTGTGCAATGTGAAAGCTCATGTAGGGAGTAACATGCTATCATGAATAGAAGATTGGCTGGCAGAAATCCGTGTGCATAAGTAGGTTTTTGGCTGATTGACAGGATTTTCTGAGTGGATTCCACTGGGATCTGTGTTGGAGCCTAAGTGTTTTTTTTTATTGCAATTTAGATGAATGGAGTGAAGGCATTGTAAGTACATTTGCAGAAAACAGAACGATAGGTAGGAAAATATTTTGTGAAGAAAACATGAGAATGCATTTTGAAGCAGAATAAGTGGGCAAAAATCTGGCAAATGGAATAAGATGTGAAGTTCTTCACTGGCAGGAAGAATGAAAAGGCAGGCCATAAACGGAATGACTACAGGATTCTGAGGTGCAGAGTGATCAAGGTGTCCTAGTGCAAGATTTAGGTACAACAAGTAATTAAAAGGGCTGATGTCCATTGATGGCTGATGAAGGAATGATATCCATTATTGTGAAGAATTGAACATAGAAGTAAGGACGTCATGCATCAGGTCGACAGGGCATTGCTGACACCACACCTTATACCACATGCAGTTTTGATCTAAAATTGTGTATGAATTGGGGGTGATTCAGATAGGCTTTACGAGATTGATACTTGGAATGAACGGTTATCTTCCGAAAAAAAGGTTGCACAGACTGAGCTTGTTTCCACTGGAGTTTAGAACACTGTGTGATTTGATTCAAATATATAAGATACTGCGTGGTGCTTCCAAGGTGAATCATAGAATCCCTACAGCGTGGAAACGGGCCCTTCGGCCCAACAAGTCCACACCGACCCTCGGAGCATCCCACCTAGAACCCATCCCCCTATACCACTCATCCCTGGACACTAGGGGCAATTTAGCATGGCCAATCCACCACCTGCACATCTTTGGACTGTGGGAGGAAACCGGAGCACCTGGCGGAAACCTACGCAGACACGGGGAGAACGTGCAAACTCCACACAGACAGTCAATCTAGGGTGGAATCGAACCCAGGTCCCTGGTGCTGAGGCAGCAGTGCTAACCACTGAGCCACCGTGCCGCCCCATGGAAAAGGTGTTTCCTCCTCTGAGTGAGTCCAGAACTAAGGGAGACTATTTTTAAAGAAAGTAGGAATTGCAGTTTTTACATGACTTTTTTTTTGAGGGCTGTGTGACTTTGGAATTCTTTGCATTGGAAGCTGACGGAGGCGAGATTGTGTTGATTATTTTTAAGGTAGAAATAAGTAGATTCCCGTTAGGTGAGGAATCATCAATTATCAGGGGAGATAGGAAAGTGGAACTTGAAACTTAAAACAGATTGACCATGATTTTATAGAACAGAACAAGCTTGAGGTGCTGAATGGCCCACTTTTTTGTTTCTCATTCATATTTTCCTATGTCACCGATCATATGCTTGTTGAGCTTTCTTTAAACAGTTTGTCAAAAATATACACACTGTGGGTTTAGTGCCAAGTAAATGTTTTATTTTTAGAATATAAAATAATGAGTGCAGCACAAATGTGACATACAGTGTCGTAACGATTGTAATATTCCAATACAGTTGGACAACAGAAATTGCACTAAATTACATTACTCGTGCACAAAGACCACTTTGTGCCAGTTACATTTAGTAGTAGCATAGTATCTTAGTGTCAACAATCGCGTTGGTCTCTGTCATCTTAATCTTCCACTTTAAAAACAATCTTATCTCCCTTAAAATAATAATATCCCTGAGCTGATAATGCTGCAAAGCCCTCAAAGCATATAAAATCCAGAATAATTTTGTTAGAGGAACAACTGCCGTATGTTTCTACTTTGAGAAGTCACATGTGAGAAACTGCAAGATTTAGTTTTAAAGGATGTGGGCATTACTGGAGAGGCCAGAATTTACCGTCCATCCCTAACTACCTTTGAGAATGTGGTGATTAGCCACTTGCTCGATTAGCTTCAGGCCATGTGTTGGTATATCCTCCGTGCTGTTAGGAAGGAAACTCCATGATTTTGACCCAGTCATTTGTGAAATTAGACCATGCCTTTTTTAACTGCATTGAACATTATTTCATTGGTAATATCATAGGTTAAAGCAGTTTCAGCAGTCATTCAGTTATGTTTTCATCTGCTTTGAATAGGTTACTTGGGGTGACGTTGCTGGCTTGGATGAAGTCATTTCGGAGCTCAAGGACACAGTGTTATTGCCCATTCAAAAACGACACCTATTTGAAGGTTCAAGACTATTGCAGCCTCCAAAAGGTACATGGGACTACCGGCATAACCATGAAATTGGGTGAGCACAGAGGCCACCTTTGTAAATA